TTCGCATTCTGGTAAGCAATGGATTGCCTATGAATTGGAGTTGGAGGAGCTTTGGTGTGGGAGGAATCCACAATAGATGCAGGTGGGCCATATGCAAAAGCCATTAGGGAGGCTGTTCACCAGATTCCAGGATTGGTAAGTCTAATTTTCACTTGGCTCACTAAAGTAACTTTGTGTTACAGACGCGTGGACTATTTGTGCTTAAAGAAGGAGCCACATATTGGCATCCCAGGATGCCAGTGTATTCTAGGACATTGCGACAAGAAGAGCGGGATGTGGTAAGTTAAGTTTAAAGCACAAGTTTTATATGCTCCTCATTTCTATATGCACAAGCTATCTTTGTGGGATGGTTGCTATTCCAAGCATTCAAATGTAATGCACAGGTATCTCACGGGTGTACAATTGCAACATTAGCAATTGCAGCTGGAGAGGTTCCAAACGAGGATGACCGACGACTTGCCCGAGGAGGACTATATGAGATGGACTTCAAGGCATGCGCGCCGCATATCTGGAATGCACTCAACCAATTGCGAGGTGCATCAAACCTAAAGGAGAAGGGCGATCGGCGCAAGTCTGTGGATTCCATCCTAGAGAACCCTGCAATTACTGACTACAATGTAGTGCTTGAGTTTAGACTCACCGAACTTGGTGAAGGTTATGAGTAGGCTGTGGAAGCATGTGTGGCTATGGTGGTTTGGTGTTACCTATTCATCAAGCCAAACGTAGTGGGAAACTTACTCCGAGATGGCTTCCAACACTCAATGCGCATGGAAGCTCATCAGAGGCCTTACAAGAGTCCAGCATTGCTAGGTGGGCTTTCACTCATTGGGACAGATGCTTTGTTACAGGTCTTCCGAGTAAGGACGATCATTCCTCCCGTGGAGTTCATCAACTACCTGATCTTTGATCAGGACTTTGGAGAAAAATTTCGCAGCTGGATTGTAGACATCATTCGAGGTAACTATTTACTTTCACAAACAACTAAAAATCTTGTATGTTTGAACATTTTATAGATATGAGCCCGAAAGAGTTATCCAAGTTCCATCACTTTGCAGTTGATTCTCCAGAGTTCCAACCAAGAGAGCCTATTTGGATCCAAATTAAGAGACAGAGTACATCATTTACTCAATTTCCCAGGTTCTCCACATGCACACGAGAAGTTTTCTTCCCTTTACATACCCGTCAAAGGAGTGGACCAAACACAAGATCCACTAGGCACTCCAAAATCTAGAGAACTTGTATGGATTGGGTTGATGTTGTGGAAGTAATGTAGACACTTTTACAATAAAAATAGATAATTATCTTGAAATATGTTTCACACTTTGAAAAAGACTCTTTCCAGTTCATTGGCAAAGTTAAAGGTAAGAATATTCAAAGTATTCCACAAATGCCCATTATAGGCATTTGCAGCCCTTGGTACCCTTTTGGCTTATGCTTGCCTCACCAAGGATAATCACTATAGCTTTCCAAAGCAACTCCCAATTTAGGTTCTGAGTCAAAACTATCGAGCTTGGGTGGTACATGATGCCCATCCTCGCTTGAGGAACTCTCAACCTGTTTCATGGTAGAACCAAAATCACCCTCTGGGTCTGTGAACTCGTCCTCACTTGCATCTCGAGCAGTAATATATCCCTCACTAGCGCTTTCTTTAGCAAGACCTTTCCCCTTGGTGATTGGCACAAGATTAGAAGTAGTCTTGGGCTGCCTTGTTGGAGGGATTGTCGAGCCTTGAGAGGAGGAGGCATCATATAGAATCCTCGGTCCTATCCCCTGTTGGATCCATTGTTGTTCCTCAAAGAAGTCATAGAATCCTCTCCAGTTTGCCATGCCAAAAGGAAACCTAAAAACCTCAAATATTGCAAAAGGGTTAGACCATATAGGAAGCTGTTACAAATTTACTCTTACCAAAGTGAGCACAAACTTCCAATCCCTGAAAACTCTAGTTCTTCGGCCGCAGTGCATGGCATACATTGGATAGTTTTGCCCCATGCTTGGAAACCCTTTTTACAAATTTTAAAATTTGAAACGGTTATGATTGGAAAATATTGTCCATTGTCATTGCTCTTCTCACCTAAATGTTACTACATGCAATTGCAACTTCCATATTCTCAAATCTCCTTCAGCATGCTCCTCTTGAGAGAACTCTAGGTCCAATTCGAAACAATTATAATTGAAAAATGTTGAAAGTGTCTATTGTTATCCTGAATGTTACTACATGCAATTGTAACTTCCACATTCTCAAATCTCCTTCAGCATGCTCCTCTTGAGAGAACTCTAGGTCCAAACATCAACACTATGCACCTTTGCATAGTACACAATTGAAGTATGAGCCCCACCAATTCATCGAATTGGTTAGACTTCAATCTACTTTTGAGTCATATGCAAATCTTCTAAGCATCATAATACAAAACTCAAGTGTTGAGAAAGCTACACTAGAAATCAATTGCAACAAAAAATAAACTCAATGGGATCCATTAAAGACATAACTCCAAATAATATATATCCATGGCTTTGCAATGGAGCTAAATGGAGTTCACTTATGCTTGCTATGAGCACTATGTTAAAAGAGGTGTGCCAAAAAAAGATATTCAATTCTTTTGCCATGAACACCAAGAGCAAGATGTGAGAACATATTGCTCTAGATAAACAATTTAGTTGATTGTCCATTTGGTTTGCAACATTAACAACTTGGTAGAATGCATGGGATGAATGGGTCTATGGGCCATGAATGGCTCCATTCCATACATAGCATGGGTCATTTCTATGGGCATGATGCCCCATCCAGGGTATAACGATTGGATATTCGTAAAATATTCTATGCCTGTGTTTTTTTTCACACTCATAATACACGTGGACCAATAGTAGGCGGTGTGAATAAAATCCACCAGTGTAAAATCCAAGGGAACAGCTGAGTTGAGGAGGGAAGGAAAAAATGTGGGGAAGTTTGGCTCTGGCGCTCGCTATCTGCGTGTTCCTGGAGAGAATTTGTCGAAGCGGGCTAAAATTGTGGCACATGAGGAAGTTGGAAGCGGCTCTCCGCGGCCAAGGGCTCAAAGGACCACCTCCAATCTTTCTGGCTGGAAACGTCGTGGAGATATTATTCAGGAGAGAAGCCGTGAGGAACAAAGGCATGGATGGAATAAGTCACGACATTGTTGCTCATGTGAGCCCCGACGTTGCTGCCTGGTCCAAGCTATACGGTAAGTTTCTTTGTTCCGCTTGCTTGTTTGCTTGCTTGTTTGCTCACTGCGTTTTTTCTCGCGCAGGAAAACCGTATCTCGTACGGTGGCTGAGCGAACCGAGGGTTGTAGTCTTCGACCCCGACTCCATCCGAGAGATTCTCTCCAAGCAGTTCGACAAATTCGAAAAATCGGAGCAGCAGCTCGAGTTTGTGCTGGACTTCATCGGCGCCGGTCTCGTTGGATTGAATGGAAATAAATGGTCGCACCACAGAAGCGTCCTCTCTCCTGCCTTTCACACGGAGAGGCTCAAGGTGGTCTTTTCTAACTTCGATTCTTTCACTTTTTTTATTATCTTTCTTCCAGGCAATGCTTTCTTCCATGACAAAATGTACTGAAAAGCTGGTGGAGAAGTGGAGCAGGCGCGTGGGGCAAGCCGAAGGACTAGAAACCGAGGTGGAAGTCCAACAAGACCTCAAAAGGCTGGCGGCTGATGTCATATCCCACACCTCGTTTGGTAGCAACTACGAGAAAGGCGAGCGAGTTTTCCAAGGATTAACTCTGCTGGGAGTGCTGCTGGTGAGATGTTTCCACAACTCGTGGCTACCATTCTTCAGGTACAAAACCATTCTTTGAGTGTTTAATCGATAGCAGTCAGCTCTCACAGGTATCTTCCTACAAAGCTAAACTTCCAGATATGGAAGCTACGCAGAGAAATCGATGGCACTCTATTGTCATTGATCCGAGAGCGAAGAATCGCCGCTGCTAAGCTGGGAGAGAGATCGTCTCATCCATATGGAAGCGACTTGTTGGGCTTGATCCTCGAGGAAGGTGAAACGGGCGGTAAGTCTGTGAAGTTTCCCGAGCAAGCTATAGTGGACGAATGCAAGACTTTCTACCTCGCTGGCCACGAAACGAGTTCCTCATTACTGGCCTGGGCGCTCTTATTGCTCGCAACACACCCGGACTGGCAAGAGAAAGCCAGAGCCGAGGTCCAGCAACACTTTCCCAATGGAGTGGACGATGGAGAAACTCTGAGCAAGCTCAAAGTGGTAAGCTCTCAAGTTCTTTTTTTCTTCTTTCCAGTTCCCAAGAATGTCACATTTCTTCCAGGTTGGTATGATAATCCTTGAGACTCTCAGGCTTTACCCCGCTGCCGGGGAGATGAACAGAGCGAGCACCCACGACACAGTGCTCAGCAATGGAATCAAGCTTCCTCGAGGGACGGGGATCACCATTCCCATCCTGTCGCTCCAGCACGACCCGGAGCTGTGGGGACCGGACGCGAACGAGTTTAGGCCGGAGCGCTTTGCGAATGGGACGACGAAGGCATGCAAGCATCCAAACGCCTTCCTTGGTTTTAGCTTCGGCCCCCGAGTGTGTATTGGGCAGGGACTCGCGGTGATGGAGGCCAAGGTCGTCCTCGCAATGCTGCTGCAAAATTTCTCCTTCCGGCTATCTCCAAACTACCGGCACAACCCCACGGTGCAAATCGTGATCCAGTCCTTCACTGGCATCCAGCTGCTAGTCCAAAAGATCTAAGGCATTGTCATCACAATAAGTTAATTGTTAATAGGCTTTGGAAAAGAATCTTCTTTTTTTTTCTTTTTTTTTCTTTTTTGAGCCTTGGTTGTGAGATTCTAGATCACAAGTTTCGTATCTTTAACAGTGTTGCGCCACATACCTCCAAAGACTTTGGGTGCTTCGAAATTGCCTACGTGCCGCCTACAAACCGGCAACTGTCTGTCGGGGAACCGCCAGTTGCCAGTGTCTGTCTTTATAATCTCTACACGGAGCACACACAACAGAGCATATTTCTTGCCTGGGAATTCATGAGTGGAGAGCTCTTTCCATAGATCGAAAAGCATTTCCAGTGCTTTCACGTCAAGGATCATAGTTGTTTAGCTCCTCGTCCCCCCCAGAATCAAGGATTATCGCAGCGTTTCTTCTTCTAAATTGCAGCACTTTTGTCCTGAAACGCGAGGAACCGATCGTCTAGCTCTAGTTGTAATACATGGGGGTACGTTCCGTGAAACTCTTGATCTTGTAAGAATCGCTAAGAATCTGACGTTCTCTCTTCTGCTCCTTTCCAGCTTATCGAGCTGCGAGTACCGATGCACTCTGACCGCTGCGAGCGATTGGTGAAGCGAGCGCTCTTCATGCCGGGGATCGACAGCATCGACATCGATCGGCAGCTTCAGAAGGTGACGATCACGGGCACTGCAGACCCCAAGCGCATCATCAAGCGGCTGCGCAGGGCGGGCAAGCCCGTGGAGCTTTGGCCGGCCCATCTCTACGATCCCAAGGTCGCCATCTACACGCCAATGGCGACGCTGTACGAGGAGCAGCTCTATGATCATGACTATGGATACGAGCAGCGCTTTCGCCCGCCCGTACGCGACGACAGCATCACCACAATGTTTAGCGCAGAGAACCCCAATTCCGCGTGCTCGATCATGTAAAGTTTTTGAGCTCGATCATGTAAAGTTTTGGTCGGTCATGTAAGTTTTGAAATCCAAGGGGAAAGATCCTGGTTGCAAGCACGCTTGCATGTCGAATTTTCAAGATTCCACGAACTGTTTGAGGTGTCATGGTTACATGTAGTTATCGCGCATTTGGTGATCGCCCACCGCCATTGCTACCAGTCTTTGCAAGAAAAGACCAAGAAGATATCCACGAAAGAAAGTTTCACGCTGGCATGGTCTCCATCCAGGGCCCAAGCAATCTCTGGGAGATAACTATGAAAAATATTCATTATTAAAAAACACATTTAAAATATGTTTCATGAGCAAAAGGGAGAATGCAAAAGATTCTACTTTTGAGACTTGGAAAATGCAAGCTACGCCCAGCTAGCACTAGCAGTACAAGAGGACGATCGAGACTGGAACGATGCCAAGCACGAACGAGCAGAACACTGGAAGGATCAATCCATTGCCTACCAGCATCACGAAGTTACCGCACTTGAAAGCCGAGAGTGCTCGTTGTGTGGTGCTCTTTCAAAGTCTTTGTGTTGCAAACAGAGTGTTGCACGGCCTGAAAAAAAGTCTTTGTCTAAACCCAGCACGCGAAAGAGAAATATTAGAAAAGCATACCTTGAGATTTCTTTCTCGAGCAAAGTCGCAAGTCCCCCTCCATGAAGAACTCTTTCGTATTCTTGTTGATCGTGATGCCGCAATCTTTGCTGCAGGTGGAATCCAACTGTCAGGTAGTCCAACAAAGAGCAAAACAAAGGAAAATAAGCTTGCCTTGACATTTTTTTTTTCCAGACGGGCGAATGTATCAGCCACGGAGGAGACCTCAAGAATCGTCGCTTTGCAGAGGATGAGCACTTCATCAGCGTCTGGCGCGCGCCTCACTTAAGCGAAAGGTGGAGCTTTGACGCTGGCGCAGACATCTCAGCCACACCAGCGATTTACGACTGCGTTGTCTATTTCCCTTCGTGGAACGGGTTCGTCTTCGCAGTTTCCATCCAAGGACAACTTCTCTGGCGCGTCAACTTGCCAGAAATCACGCGAGTTGCCACTTTGTCGCGGACGACACCTGCTGTGACCGAGGACCTCTTGCTATATGGTTTGCTCGGTCCCGCTAGAGTTGTTGCTTTAGACCGTAAGAGTGGAAGACTGGTGTGGATGTCGGAAGATCTGGATGAAACGGCCCGGGCAAGGATCACCATGTCAGGAACAGCATACGACGGGTAAGCAAACTTCCTTTCTTTTCTTTTTCTCTGCTCTTGAGTACCTATAATTCTGGCAGAGCTTTCTACGTTGGTATCTCTTCGCGCCAAGAGCTTGTGGAGGCAACCTGCTGCACATTCCAGGGAAGCTTTCAGAAACTAGACCTCAAAAATGGAAAACGAAGATGGAGAACTGACATGGTTCCTGAAAACTCCGGTTTCTATGGCGTTTCGGTATGGGGAAGCAGTCCTTCCGTCGATCCCAAGCGAGGACTCGTCTTCATTGGCACTGGGAACCTCTACCAGATCCCGAGCGACGTCCAGGACTGCCTCAACAGAAACGCCAACTCGAGCGACTGCTATCCTCGCGGCGTCTGCGACGACACCGTTGTAGCCGTGAACATGGCCGACGGTGAGATACTCTGGCGTAACAGGCTCGGAGGAAACGACGTATAGAGGCTTGCTTGTGACACAAATCCACCACCAGCGCCTGAGCCTGGGCCGGACTACGACTTTGGAGAGTCACCGATGCTGCTCACGATCCCAAGCCGCTACTCCAAGAACAAGTTCCAAGATATCGTCGTCACCGGTCAGAAGAGCGGCATTGTTTGGGCTCACGATCGAGACGACGGCAGCCTTGTCTGGGAAACGGTAACTCAAGCTCCTGTTGATATCTAGCCTGTTCTTCTTGGTCACCTTGCGTTTGTTTTCCCTGTTTTGTGAAGACTGCCGGACCTGGTGGCTCTGTAGGTGGAGCGATCTGGGGAGCCGCCACTGACAACCATCGAGTATACACCAACATCGCAAACTCTGACCGTGCTACGTTCCAGCTCGTTCCTTCCGGAGAAAGCACCACCGCTGGTGGCTGGGTGGCCATGGAAGCCGCTACTGGAAGAATAGAATGGTCCACTGCGAATGCACACGGTTCGCGAGCATACGGGCCTGTGACTGTCGCCAACGGTGTGGTCTTCTGCGGATCATTCGACAACGATGGTCATGTTCTCGAACTGGACGCAGAGAGTGGACGTATACTGTGGGAACGTACCACTGGTTCGACGGTCTATGGAGGGCTCTCAGTCGGGCACGGGTGTTGCTTTATTGGAACGGGATACTCACGGGCTCCACTGGCTCCTGCGTTTGGAGGAACTCCCGGCTCCAAGTATCACACGTTTGATACCGAACCTATGAGCAGCTAATATCTGCGAGGAAACACTCGTAAGTTAGGCAGGCGAATTACTGAAAGCTTACCTTGTCCTTCACTCCTCCTACTGGTAACACGAGAACACGTAGTGTCATTTCACCAATCATTGCGGTGTCAGCACGCACGCATCTCTTCCCTAGGAAAGACACCAAGGCCGTCACAAGCGTAACACCGGCGGAGGGCCGTCCTTCGGCACAGCACCTGCTGGAAAGTGGATATGAATATCTCGACTATCCATTAAACTTCTTTCCGCGCCAGTTGCAAGCTTCAACTCGGCAGCTCGTGCTCTCACCTGTTTAAACAATTGAATACAAGCGAAAGTTTTTTGTAAACATACCCATGTGAGAGCAATCTGAGCAGATTCTTTGATAACATCTCCCAGCTGAGATCACCCTTCCCTGTCATGGCCGTGGCCTCGACAAATTGAACTTCACCACCAACGGCCGTCCAGACAAGGCCCACGGCCACACCGGGAGTGGACACTCTTTCAGCCGCTTCTTTGCCAAAACTTAGGTGGCTGTAGAGAAAGAATAGTTTAGTGACAATGAAAAAGAAGAGAAGGAAATTGTATAGCTTACGCCAAGGACTGTTTCAACCATCGCCTCGTCCACATGCTTCCACTGTAGTAGTAGTTGTTTGAGCTTGAACTTCTCGAGCAACATGGATGGAATGCTCTCTTTCTGCAACTTTGACAGCCGCAGCTCTTGCAAGGGCTGCCAAATGCCTTTCTAGATTACGAACTCCAGCTTCACGAGTATAACGCTGAATAATAAGCTCCACCATTGCCTACAAACACGGAAATGGTAAACCAAGCATTTCAGAAACTCAGTTTATACCTCTGGAATTTTTAAATGCTGCACAGTTATGCCATGTTGATCAAAAACTCTAGGAATGAGATGTCGCATAGCTATACACAGCTTTTCTTCAGAAGTGTATCCAGGTAGCTCAATCACTTCCATGCGATCAAGCAAAGGCGGTGAAATTGGTTGAATCCTATTGGCCGTGGCAACAAAAACCACTTTGGATAAGTCAAATGGAACGTTGAGGTAACTGCAAAGAAACAAGTTAAAAGCATGACCAAAGCGAAGGTACTATACGTACTGATCATTGAACGTCCTATTCTGCTCCGGATCTAAGACCTCCAGTAAAGCAGATGCCGGATCACCACGGACATCCGTACCTGTTTTATCGATCTCGTCCAGAAGCATGACCGGATTGTTGACTCCCACTCGCTGGCAATATGATGAAAACATCAGGAATAAAAAACTTAAACAATCCATACCTTAATGCCTTCGATCAGTCGACCCGGCATGCTTCCTATATATGTTCTACGATGACCTCGTATGTCTGCTTCATCCTTCACTCCGCCCAATGAAATGCGGATAAAAAGTCTTCCCAAAGCTCCAGCAATTGAAGACGCCAAGGATGTTTTTCCTACACCCGGAGGACCTACGAAGCAGAGGACAGGGCCCCTCGCGTCGGGTTTTAACTGTCAAAAATATTAGTTAGAAAGGAAAGAAGATTGAAGATAGCTTACATACTTTTCGTACAGCCAAATACTCAATAATCCGCTTCTTGACTTTTCCCAGCCCATAATGCTCGCTATCCAACCGTTCCTTTGCTGCAACAAGATCTAGTTCACGTTCTTCGCTACTTATCTGCCATGGTAATTCAGCAAGGAGTTCCAAATAAGCTCTTGAGCTTCCATAACCTGGCTGTTGAGGCTGCATTTTCCTCAACCTCCTATGAAATGGCAAGCAGCAAGATTTCAGCTGAAAATAGACACACAATTATATCTTACCTCAGCTCTCTCTGTGTGTGCTTCCATACGTTTGCCGGCATTCCCACATTCTGCATCTTTTTCTCCAAAGCAACCACATCATCTTCGTCCTCATCGTTATCACCGAGCTCCTCTTTGATCGCTTTCATCTGTAAAGCGGCATGAGGGACAAAGCAAACTTGCGGATCATAAGTAATACAGTACTTGTTGACGTAAAAGAAACTCTTTTTGAGACTTCGAGAGATTTCCTTCCACTTTCTGGGATATCTTTTCGGCTACCTTGATTGTCTAGAGACAGTACACGAGTTTAAATTGGATGCTTAACTCGAAAGTCAGCACGAACCTGAAGATGGCGCGTTATGATTTCAGTCGCTTTCACAAGTCGCTGTTTTAAGTCGACGGCGTCTAGCATAGCTAGCCGGTCTTCAAAGTTGTTCTCAAAATTTGCAACAAAGATGTCCGCAAGCCTGTGGGCAGAGGTTGTCTCGAGTAATATTTTCGTGCGGCCCACAGTTCTTTGCTTCTACGACGTCAAACAATCAGCAATTCGAGAACATGTACCGATAGAATACCTGCTCCAAAGCAGAGATCAATTCGCTAGCAACAACTTTAAACTGTTGTCCCAGAAGTTGCACCTCTGGATCTTTTTCCGCCTGCTCCATCTCTACAAGAAAAAAACCAAAGCAGTAAAACAGCTGCGCCTCATCAGCTACCTGCTTTTGTCATATCGAGCTGACCAATCCCGAGCATTCATGTCCTTGAGACTGAACCTACACCAGCCTTCTAAAACGACGGTGTACGTAACCCGACCACTTGGTTTTTCCATGCCACGAGAGAGATGCAAAGCTCGGGCTGCTACACCCCTACAAAAATTCTTACGTGACCCATCAGGAAACACTCTGGAATTCTTACCGGGGATGCCATTGCACGAGCTCTTGATTTTGCTTTCCCAGGCATTGCTGGAAATCTGGAAGCGCAGTTCCACCTCGATCGCCTGGAGATACAATCAACACACAGGTAACTCCCAAAACAGTTCCTTGGCATTTTCCTTGCCTTGAGTCGGGGGAGGCTGCTGCTGCTGTGGCGGCGGAGGCGGAGGCGGAGACGCCGGATCGGACTGCTGCAAATCCCTGGCAGGCAAAACTCCAATCAATCCCCTGTCTTCCTTCTGCCACAGCTCCTGCTCGACCAGCCTAACGCTGGGAGAAAAACGATCAAACCGCCCGCATTTTAGCTCCCAAATTCTACGCGATGGCCTAAGAAGCGCTTACTTGGTCGGCGACGTGCATCGGATGCGCACCACAGCTCCCGGGAGCAGGACTCGATTCCTAAACAGCATGATCGCCAGGCGCGGAGGAAGCTCGGCAACATCGCCAGGCGCTCCAGCCATCGCCTCTCGCCTCCTCTCTCGCTCTCGCTCCCAGAAACAAAGCCCTAGAAGCAAAGAAGAAGGAAGAAATATAAAATCACCTCACAGTGCCAGTGAAAACGCAGGCATTGTCTCGAGGACATGTCCGCTAAAGGTTAACAAGTGGATGATGATACTAAAATACTCGACGTGGCATGGTAAAGCGAAATTTTAAATGCCATGTCGGAGGCTAGATCTATTGGAGCAAAAATTTTAGAATGGAGTGGAGTCTCACAACGTTGAAAATTTCGCTTGGCATTTAAAAGCCTGGGAGTGAGCTCCCATCGACAAAATGTTGGAACAAAAGCAACGCTTGCTCGGGTTGGTCAAAGGGAACCATATGTCCAGCGCCTCTCACTGTGGCAAGCGTTAGCCCCGCGTATTTCTCACTCCAGCCGCCGACCTGGAAGAAGATCTAGCTATGATCACACGAAACAAGGAAATAGAACAAGTTTGTATTTTAGTACCTGATCTTGGAACTTCCAAGGATACCACTTCTGCGTGATGGTGAGATTGAGCTTCTTGATCCACGCTTTCGTCCCGATCGTCGAGACAACACCATCGACATCGCCACTACGTGCGAAAGGGAAAACTGCGCTCTTGTCATGAAAGGAAACGTCAAAGTTGTACCTGTAAATCCAGATCTTGAGACCCTCTTTCAGTAGCGAGCGATACAGTGGAAGCATTGAATTCGTGATCTCCTTTATCGGATAGTTTTCATTCACTGCTCGACTGCATCACAACATAGATCGCATGTGAACCAGGTTCGAGAGAGAGAAAAGAAAAAAGGTTTTACCTGCAAAATGACCACTTCCCAGGCATGAATTCTACGTGTAAAGCGGTTTGGACGTCCTTGGAGTTGAGATATGGAGACACTGTATCAGCGCATGGATCGTAGGCAGCAGCCAGCATCTCAGTGTGCATGAAAGTATTTTCTCGCAGCGTTTGGCTCAAAATCGTCCCGTTGGGATCTTGCTGGTTGCACGTAGGGGCGTAGACGTTGTAGGTGTCAACGTACTGGATGCTGTTGACCATGGCGCTGACTGCGAACCTGCACAGCGGATTGGCATCGCTTGAAAGATCCTTGGCGAAGTCGCAGTTGGCGACGACTTGGTTGTAGATCTCATCGGAGACTAGCGAATGACTGTGGAAGAAATCGGTGTCGCCTTTGTTGTCAGAGTATGTGTCCGACCAGGGATTACCAAGCTGCGCGTCAAACACCAGATGAGTAGAAACGTTTTGGACGAGCAAAGCCTTACAGCAAATCCTTTGAAGTTAATGAAAGCTCCGGCCTTCTTCTTGTTGTAGTCGAGGATTTTTGCAGCTAAAGTCGGAACATAATGCCCTGCAAGAACAAATTCATACAGTGAAGAGCTTGAAACACGTTGTTTTTACCAGAGTAGCTTTCACCGAGGAGGTAAAAATCGCTCTTTGAATACTCTGGAAAGCGTTTCAACCACTCCAGGATGAACACAAGAACATCCGATGCTGCAGGCAAATCGGTATATCAATCAATTCTTTGCAATATATCCTATACCCATGATATCATCACTGTATTGGTTATAATCCGAGGTTGTGTTGGAGTACGAGAATCCAACGCCGTGGGGAGCCTCGAGGAATATAAGATTGACCACTGCTCGAAAGCAAAGCTAGCTCTTAGCCCTGAAGACGATAAAAACAACCTTTCTACGTACCTTGATTCCATGCGTATGGATTGAGAACAAGCCCCGAGCCTGCGTCATTTGTTCTAAAAGGTCCCAATTCTCCCAAGGCTCCAGCTCCGACCGAAGAACATCCTGGGCCTGAAAAGCATCCGAGGTCCTATAAAGCTTTGAGCTCTGAAGAACAAAACTTACCTCCATTCATCCAGATCGCTAGAGGCAGCTGTAGCGAACTGTTTTGGTGATCAGCCTCATAGAACCAGTAGAAAAGTGTCTTCCCTGTGGTTGGATTCACGGTAACTTGGCCAGCATACTGATTGAAGTTAACTTGAGGTTGTCCAGGAAGCTTGGAAACAAGATGAGATGGATCCGCTGCTAGAGCTGTAAGGAATGAAGTAAGTAGAATAAAAAGAGCGAGTGCTGCGTCCATCGGTGTCGAAACTCGCAGAAAATGCGAGATATAAATATCTCCAGTGGCAACAATAATAGAATTTCGAAATTATCATATCTTGTACGTGGAAATGGACCACTCCGAAAACTCCATCAGCTGACCACCAGCCGTCCCTGTTACGCCAAAGTGAAAACTCCAAAGACAAGCTGATTAGAACGAATAGTTTTCACGAACCTTGAACGCGTAGCTACGTTTGTGTTTGTTTTCTTTCTCTCTTTCCTATTGTTCATGGGAAGCTGGGCAACGCTTCTCTTGCCAAGAAGCTCTTGAAAACTTGAAGTGCCTGTTGCGGCTTTGTGGCAGGCACCATGTGTCCAGCGCCTCTGACTGTGGTAAATGTCATTCCCTTGTAGACTTGTGTCCAGCCTCCAACCTGTGTCGGAGATTCGCCGTTGGGATGCTATCTAAACTATCGAAGAACAAGAACCTGCTTGTTGAAGTCCCATGCGTACCACGGTATTCGAACCTCCTGGCAAGTGGATGAAAACTGGTCAATGGTTCTTCTCAAACAAATCAATCAAACTTTAGCATCTTGCAAATCCTTGGCCCGCTTTCAAACGGCGTAAGTAGAGATAGTTGTTGAATCACCATAAGGTGGCAGTGCACAAAAAGAAAAACGATTTCGTCATGGAATCTCCAGCAAGCGTGTCGCGGGCTTGAGACTTCCGCCTCCTAGAAGCTTGCAGTACAAGAGGACGACCGAGGCTGGAACCATGCTCAAGATGGTGGTCTCGTTGACATGGGAGTGATGCCAATCTATGATAGCAAGGAAGAGGACAAGCCCCTTGCCTACCAACAATGCACGCATCCAGTTACCCGCACTTGAATGCGGGGAGTGCTCTTTGTGTGGTGAAAAGTCTTTGTGTTGCAAACAGGGTGTTGCACGGCATGAAGAAAAGTCTTTGTCTAAACCCAGCACGCGAAAATGAAATCTTAGAAAAGCAAAGAAAGACTGCATTTGCATGCCTTGAGTTTTCTTTCTCGAGCAAAGTCGCAAATCCCCCTCCAAGAAGAACTCTTTCGTATTCATGTTGATCGTGCTGGCACAATCTTTGCTGCAGGTGGAATCCAACTGTCAGGTAGTCCAAACAAAGGAAAATAAGCTTGCCTTGACATTTTTTTTCCAGACGGGCGAATGGATCAGCCACGGAGGAGATCTCAAGAATCGTCGCTTTGCAGAAGATGAGCACTTGATCAGCGTCTGGAGGGCGCCTCACTTAAGAGAAAAGTGGAGCTTTGACGCCGGCGCGGACATTTCGGCCACACCGGCGATTTACGACTGTGTTGTCTACTTCCCATCGTGGAACGGGCTTGTCTTCGCAGTTACCATCCACGGAGAACTTCTCTGGAGCACGAACTTGACAGAAATCACGGGAGTTGCCACTTTGTCGCGGACGATACCGGCTGTGACCGAAGAGCTCTTGCTGTATGGTTTGCTCGGTCCCGCTAGAGGTGTTGCTTTACACCGTAAGAATGGAAGAATGGTGTGGATGTCAGAAGATCTGGATGAAACGCCCCTGGCAAGGATCACCATGTCAGGAACAACATACGACGGGTAAGCAAACTTCTTTTCTTTTCTTTTTTTCTGCTCTTGAGAACCTATCATACTGGCAGAGCTTTCTACGTTGGTATGTCTTCGCTCCAAGAGCTTGTAAAGGCAGCCTGTTGCACATTCCAAGGAAGCTTTCAGAAACTCGAAAACTGGAAAACGAATATGGAGAACTTAAACTTACATGGCTCCTGAAAATTCCGGTTCTACGGCGTTACAGTTTGGGGAAGCAGTCCTTCCATCGATCCCAAGCGAGGACTCGCCTTCATTGGCACTGGAAACCTCTACCAGATCCCGAGCGACGTCCAGGACTGCCTCAACAGAAACGCCAACTCGAGCGACTGCTATCCTCGCGGCGTCTGTGACGACGCCGTTGTAGCCGTGAACATGCCCGACGGTGAGATACGCTGGTGTAACAGGCTCGGAGGAAACGACGTATGGAGGCTTGCTTGTGACACAAATCCACCACCAGCAAACTGTCCACCTGAGCCTGGGCCGGACTACGACCTGGGAGAGTCACCGATGCTCCTCACGATCCCAAGCCGTTTCTCCAAGAACAAGTTCCAAGATATTCTCGTCACCGGTCAGAAGAGCGGCATTGTTTGGGCTCACGATCGAGACGACGGCAGCCTTGCCTGGGAAAAGGTAACTCGAGCTCCTGTTGATATCTAGCTTGTCCTTCCTGGTCACCTTTGGTTTTCCTCCTGTTTTGTGAAGACTGCCGGACCTGGTGGCTTTGTAGGTGGAGCGATCTGGGGAGCCGCCACTGACAACCATCGAGTGTACACCAACATCGCAAACTCTGACCGTGCTACGTTCCAGCTCGTTCCTTCCGGAGGAAGCACCACTGCTGGTGGCTGGGTGGCCATGGATGCCGCTACTGGAAGAATAGAATGGTCCACTGCGAATCCACACAGTGCGCGAGCATACGAGCCTGTGACTGTCGCCAACGGTGTGGTCTTCTGCGGATCATTCGACAAGGATGGTCATGTTCTCGCACTAGACGCAGAGAGTGGACGTATACTGTGGGAACGTACCACTGGTTCGACGGTCTATGGAAGGCTCTCAGTCGGGCACGAGTGTTGGTTTGTTGGAACGGGATACTCACGGGATCCACTGGGTGCTGCGCTTGGAGGAACTCCCGGATCCGAATTATATGCCTTCTGTGTATGACATTATCAAGGCAGCATTAGAAAGACGCACGCAACAAGTTTCTCCCAGTGTTCCTAACCGAAGTCAATATTCTAGATGGTGTACCTGTAAGTTGGAGCTCACGCTCTTCCATCTTGTACAGCTTAAACCTGTTATACACCTAGAAAAGACTTCTGAGCCCATTGTATTGCTAGCCTGGCCAACACATAGTACACACAAACGCTAGCCTGCGGAAACCTTCTTGCCGTCCTCCATGAAGAAGATAGCCGATTCAGGAATCTGAGAATGTTAAGTTAGAGCACGCACAAGAGCCTAGAAGAACTCACGTTTTGCCACGTATCTGTGATAAAGTCTACAATGTCCAGCAGAATATCCCCTTGAACGTCGATTTGTTCTTTCTCCGTCGGGCCCTGAAAAGAACTTTTGAGTCACGCGAGAAAGAGCATGCGTGAGAATCCCACTCACCTTCACCACAGACGCACCACTTGCGAATTTCTTCCCGAGTTTCTTCGATGCCTCCCCCAGCTTGACACCTTCAGACATTCAAAAAGCTCTTCTAGATGCAGTAGACGAAGCAAGCAGCAAATCCTGTTACCAAACATGTCGAGCCCTTTGATAGTTGTCACACATTTCCTTTTGTTTCTCGTCACTCTCTCGACCACAACCGCGGGCTTTTCCTGGAAATGCAGAGCGTAAGTTTCATCGTCTCATGGAACTGCCAACTCGTTACCTTCTTCTTGATTTTTCCTCCGGGTAATCTCTTCACATCCTCTTCTACAAATGACATAAAACAAAAAGAGAGAAAAGAACATTTACTCGTCTCTCTCTCTCTCATACGTACCTTGTGTCTTTGAGCTATCTCCCTTTTCATTGCTCACAGTTAATCCTTGTAGTTGCTGCTCAGCTCTCTCTGTGAAGAAGAAAAAGAAGGTAAAATCACAACACTAACGACGATCAATCGAGGTACCTCTTGCAAGCTCCGGATACAAGTCAGGCACATTCTCTAGGAGCCAGGGCTTGCACTTCTCAAAGTCCGGTCCAAATTCGCAATACTCAGGAGGCAAACTACACACTAGAGTCGGACAGTTAGCATGATCCGGCAAAGAAAAACCATACAAATCACCTGCGCAGTACAAAACCTGGACCTTGTCGCCCATGGCACGCCCTCTACCCCCAACGAAGAACCCTAAAAACAAAAAAAAAACAATCAAACAAGAAATGCATAAAATATTATGCTAATTTAAATGAAATACGTTCATGAAGTATTTCTTCTGAGATAAATAAATAGAGAGCTTTTAGGTCAATTCCTTAGGAAAAAACGAAATATAAGTATCGATTTTTTGGCTTTCTCAATGTTAGTTCCTAGGCTTCTACAAGATCCTGCTGCACAGCTTTCAGAATCGAGCTCTTTGATAGTTGTCACACATTTTCGTCTCTCAGTTTCATCGTCTCAAATAACTTAGAACTCCCTTGATTTTTCCTCCTATTATGAGAAAAACAAAAAGAAAAACGAATGTTTGCTCCTCCTCAAAGAAGTCACATGTAAATTTACAGAAGATATCAATAAGTTTGTTAACAATCCGCTGATAGGTTTAAATATCTAGTCATGTTTCCTACCAGGATTACAGCTACAGCAGACTCAAAGTTCTTTGCCCGACGGAGAAAGAAAATTGCCTCGACATTTAAGGGGACATTCTGCTGGACATTGTAGAGAAGTTTCATCGAAACTTCGCAAAACGTGCTTCTAAGCTCTTGTGAGTGGCTCTAACTTTAACATTCTCAGATTCTCGAATCCATGGAGGACGGCAAGAAGGTTTTTGCAAGAAGTCCCAGTCAACTTTTCTAGTCGTATAAGATTTAAGCTGCACAAGATGTAAGAGGTCTACCTTCCAGGTACAGCATCTACTTCGGCTATGAACACTGTGAGAACGTTATTACGTGCGTCTATCTAGTGCTGCCTTGATCATGTCATACACAGAAGGCATATAATTCGGAGCCGGGAGTTCCTCCAAGCGCAGGAGCCAGTGGAGCCCGTGAGTATCCCGTTCCAATAAACCAACACCCGTGCCCGACTGAGGGTCCTCCGTAGACCGTCGAACCAGTGGTACGTTCCCACAGTATACGTCCACTCTCTGCGTCCAGTGCGAGAACATGACCATCCTTGTCGAATGATCCGCAGAAGACCACACCGTTGGCGACAGTCACAGGCCCGTAAGCTCGCGCACCGTGTGGATTCGCAGTTGACCATTCTATTCTTCCAGTAGCGGCGTCCATGGCCACCCAGCCACCAGCGGTGGTGCTTTCTCCGGAAGGAACGAGGTGGAACGTAGCACGGTCAGAGTTTGCGATGTTGGTGTATACTCGATGGTTGTCAGTGGCGGCTCCCCAGATCGCTCCACCTACAGAGCCACCAGGTCCGGCAGTCTTCACAAAACAGGAGGAAAACAAAAGGTGACCAGGAAGGACAAGCTAGATATCAACAGGAGCTCGAGTTACCGTTTCCCAGACAAGGCTGCCGTCGTCTCGATCGTGAGCCCAAACAATGCCGCTCTTCTGACCGGTGACGAGAATATCTTGGAACTTGTTCTTGGAGAAACGGCTTGGGATCGTGAGGAGCATCGGCGACTCTCCAAAGTCGTAGTCCGGCCCAGGCTCAGGTGGACAGTTTGCTGGTGGTGGATTTGTGTCACAAGCAAGCCTCCATACGTCGTTTCCTCCGAGCCTGTTACACCAGCGTATCTCACCGTCGGCCATGTTCACGGCTACAACGGCGTCATCACAGACGCCGCGAGGATAGCAGTCGCTCGAGTTGGCGTTTCTGTTGAGGCAGTCCTGGACGTCGCTCGGGATCTGGTAGAGGTTTCCAGTGCCAATGAAGGCGAGTCCTCGCTTGGGATCGATGGAAGGACTGCTTCCCCATACTGTAACACCGTAGAAACTGGAGTTTTCAGGAACCATGGAAGTTCTCCATATTCGTTTTCCAGTTTTGAGGTCGAGTTTCTGAAAGCTTCCTTGGAATGTGCAACAGGCTGCCTCCACAAGCTCTTGGAGCGAAGATATACCAACGTAGAAAGCTCTGCCAAAATGATAGGTGCTCCAGAGCAGAAAAAAAGAAAAGAAAAAAAGAAAAGAAAGGAAGTTTTCTTACCCGTCGTATGCTGTTCCTGACATGGTGATCCTTGCCAGGGGCGTTTCATCCAGATCTTCTGACATCCACACCATTCTTCCACTCTTACGGTGTAAAGCAACAACTCTAGCGGGACCGAGCAAACCATACAGCAAGAACTCTTCGGTCACAGCCGGTGTCGTCCGTGACAAAGTGGCAACTCCCGTGATTTTTGTCAAGTTGACGCGCCAGAGAAGTTCTCCGTGGATGGTAACTGCGAAGACAAGCCCGTTCCACGATGGGAAGTAGACAACACAGTCGTAAATCGCCGGCGTGGCCGAAATGTCCGCGCCGGCGTCAAAGCTCCACTTTTCGCTTAAGTGAGGCGCGCTCCAGACGCTGATCAAGTGCTCATCTTCTGCAAAGCGACGATTCTTGAGATCTCCTCCGTGGCTGATCCATTCGCCCGTCTGGAAAAAAATGTCAAGGCAAGCTTACTTTCCTTTGTTTTGCTCTTTGTTGGACTACCTGACAGTTGGATTCCACCTGCAGCAAAGATTGTGCCATCACGATCAACAAGAATACCAAAGAGTTCTTCATGGAGGGGGACTTGCGACTTTGCTCGAGAAAGAAAACTCAAGGCATGCAAATGCAGTCTTTCCTTGCTTTTCTAATATTTCTTTTTCGCGTGCTGGGTTTAGACAAAGACTTTTCTTCACGCCGTGCAACGCCCTGTTTGCAACACAAAGACTTTTCACCACACAAAGAGCACTCCCCGCATTCAAGTGCGGGTAACTGGATGCGTGCATTCTAACGAAAGGTGAAACCGTGTGATGGTGCTCAAGATCCGTCATAGCATATATGGAATGGAAAATGTACATATGTGTGACATGGTGAACCGGTGAAGACTCGTGTCTCTCCACGTGGACTAGCCACGTGGCACAGGGCCACTCTCAACACTCCCACTGGCACTGTGGCCATCACGAGTGATGCTCATCAGTGGAGAAAGTCCCAGCCCTTCGCGATGGACTTGAAATCGATCTCGGGGTAGTGCTTTTGTGAAGATATCTGCAACCTGAGTGGTCGTGTCGCAGTAGATCAGCTCAATTGTGCCATCTTCCACTTTCTCACGAACGAAATGATGATGAATCCCAAAGTGTTTGGTGTGTGAATGAAAGCGAGGATTGGCCGCTAACGCAATGCAGCTTTGATTGTCACAGAAGAGGCGAGTGGGAGTCTTCACACTCACACCAAGGTTAGAAAGTAGTGAGCGTAACCACACACCTTCTTTGGTAGCTTGTGAGGCTGCCAAATATTCTGCTTCAGTACTAGAGGTTGCCACTGTACTTTGCTTCCTGCTGCACCACGAGACTGTCGCACTGCCCAGGGAAAACGAATAGCCAGAGGTGCACTTGCGTGTGTCACAGTCTCCCCCAAAATCAGCATCACAGTACCCCGTGAGGGTAAGCGCTTCTCCCTGGTAGCACAATCCAAGGTAAGTAGTACCTCGAAGGTACCTGAAGATGCGTTTCACCGCTGCCCAATGTTGAGATCCAGGATTAGCCAGGAATTGGCTAACTTTGCTCACGGCAAAAGAAATATCTGGGCGCGTACAAACAGCTGGATACATGAGACTGCCAACAGCTTGTCTGTAAGGGATGGAGTCCATGGCTCTCTTGTCGTCCTCTGTCTCAGGAGACATGGCTTGTGAAAGCTGGCAGCCTAGTTCCATTGGTGTCGCCACTGGATTAGAGCTCGTCATAGAAAACCTGGCCAGCATATCTTCTATATACTTGGCTTGGTGAAGATAGATAGTGCGTTGAGAGCGATCACGCACAAGTTCCATGCCAAGAAAGTAGGAAGCCGAGCCAAGAGTTTTCATCTCAAATTGGCTGCAAAGATCTCGCTTAACCTGGAGAAACATTAAGCGATGATTATGGATGACAAGAGTATCATCAACATAAAGACCGATGATCACAAATGATTCACCCTCCACCCGAATATAAAGATTCGGGTCTGCCTCGCTACGGGAAAAGCCCACACTTAGTATAAAATCGTCAAAGCGTTTGTACCAAGATCTGGGTGCTTGTTTCAAACCGTAGACAGCTTTCTTGAGAAGCCAGAGATGATCCTCTTTTCCAGCGGCTAGAAATCCTTCTGGCTGTGCCATATAGATTTCTTCTTCAAGCGCGCCATAAAGAAACGCCGTGGTCACATCCATCTGTTCCAGATCAAAATCTCCCACCGCAGCAAAATTAATCAAGGAACGAAGAGTAGAATGCTTAACCACTGGAGCAAAGGTGTCGTTGTAGTCAAGTCCAGGAACTTGCGAGCATCCTTTCGCCACCAATCGCGCCTTGTAGCGAACCGAGCCATCAGGATTAAGCTTCAGAGCATACACCCACATGCTCTTGATAATCTGGCGATCGGAAGGCACAGTTGGAACAAGAACATGTGTCTCGTTCTTTTGCTGTGAAGCAATCTCGGCTTCCATTGCTACACGCCAGTAAGACGCTTCCTGTGAGGCCATGGCTTCTCCATAGGTCCTCGGAACAGTAGGAGTAGCTGCACGAGAGGAGACCATTGTCTCGATGAGACGCTCAGTAGGCCGCCTTGTGCGGATCGATCTGCGTAGAGGATCTGGAGGAGGCGGCGGGGTTGGTGGTGTTGGAGTAGAAGCGGGCATGGGTTGTTGCGTAGGGACTGTTTGAAGCGGCACAGTGATCGTGCCGACAGTCAACTGATCTTGTTCCGCTTCAACGTCATTTTCTTCGGTCAAGGTAGGTCTGGAAGTAGAACCTTGACTAGAAGGAAGAAACGAATTCTCGTTGAAAACCACTTCTCTGCTCAGGATCTCCTGCTTCGTGATTGGATTCCAGAGACGATAGGCTTTGTGATCGAGGCTGTAGCCCACAAACACAGCCTTCTGGCTCTTGGGATCCAATTTCTTGCGCATTCCATCAGGGATGTGTGCCCACGCTTCACACCCGAATATTCTCAGATGCGTAACTGTAGGTTTCTTGCCACTCCATGCTTCTTCAGGAGTGATGTCAGCAAGGGCAGAGGTGGGGAGCCGGTTCTGGAGATAGTTCGCCGTCAAAACAGCGTGAAACCAGAAGCTGCGAGGCAAACCACTGGAAAGTAGCATTGCCCGAGCACTCTCCACTAGTGTGCGATTCTTGCGCTCAGCTACGCCATTCTGTTGTGGAGTCTCTCGCGTTGTAAGTTCTCGCACAATCCCTCCTTGCTCACACAGCTGGTTGAAAGCATTGGAAGTGAATTCGCCTCCACCATCACTTCTCAATCGCTTGAGCATTTTCCCAGTTTGTGTTTCTCCCATATCCTTGAAAGTCTGGAAGTAGTGTAACGATTGGGATTTGCGAGCCATAGGGTAGATCATAGTGCGACGACTGTAGTCATCAATGAAACTGATAAAGTATTGGATACCTCCCACTGCTGTGGTGGCCATCGGGCCACTCACATCAGTGTGTACAAGTTCCATGAGCTCTGTAGCTCGAGATGCTCCAGTCTTGGGGAAAGGTTGGCGAGTAGATTTTCCTAGCTGACAGCCCTGGCAAAATGGAAGAACGGCTCTTGGGTCCAGGTCTAGACCTTCAACCATCTGCTCGCGTGCGAGCTGCTTGATTCTATCAGCACTAGGATGCCCCAGGCGTGCGTGCCAAAGCTCCAGTGAGTGACTGGTCGTTGTCTTTTGTGCGTGTAGGCCCAGACTCCGTCCAGCAAGATCTGGCAGCATGGTAAGGCGGTAGAGGTCACGCCGTCCAGGCCGGGACGCTGTGAGGATGGCTCCTGTGGTCGAGATCAGCTGGAATTGGCGAGGTGTAATGGCGAACTGATACCCATCCTCAGCAAATTGTCCCACAGAGAACAAATTAGCACATAAACCAGGAATATAAAGAACCTCGTGGATCTTTACGACTATTCCTTGTGGTAAAGTGAACTTGATGGTTCCAACTCCTTTCACAGCAAGCTGCTGGGCATTGCCAACGATGACATACTCCTCTGTGGCTGTAGGAACATAGGCTTCAAAGTACTTATCACTGTTGAACATATGGTCTGTAGCAGCAGAATCCAGGTAGATGCACTCTGTAGACAGTGCTGCCACTGCCATAGCTCGTGACAAGATGAAGGCGTGCACCACCTTTTTCTTTGCATTGTTCCTTACAGGCTTGAGAGATGGATTTTTCACCCAGCATTGAGCTTCGTCATGGCCTTTCTTGTTGCAATGAGAACACTTGGGCTTCTTGGATGAAGAGGCTCCTTGTTTCCCTTTGTTCACTGTTTCTTTCCTGAGAGAAGAGTAGAATGCAACGGCCTCTGATCCTGTTGTTGCTCTTCGTCTCAGATCATCGTCCTGGAGGCTACTGATCACGCCATTCAGGGTTAGAGGAGTTCCAGTGGTAGTGAGGCTACGTATGAGAGGATCAAAGGATGGAGGAAGTGTGACGAGCACCAGCTCTGCTTCTTCTTCATCCTCTATCTTCGCTCCCACATCCTTAAGATCATCTAAGATTGTTCTCGCTGCAGCAAGATGATCCTTGAGGTCATCCCCTTCAGCCATCACCAGTGCATGAAGCTGCTTCCGTAAAAAGATGCGATGGGATGTTGAAGGGATCTGGTAAGTCTGCTTCATGGCCTCCCACGCTTCCTTTGCACTCTTGCACCGTCCAATGCAATGGAATTCTCGCCCCTCCAGCGCTGCATGGAATTTGCCCAAAGCTCTCCGGTCCTTCTTGCGATACTTCGCAGTTTCATCCACTGTAGCTGTATCTGGAAGTGTCTCAGTTCCTGTGGTGATGTCCCAGAGGCCTCGTTCATCCATATAGGATTCGAATTTTGTCTTCCAGAAGCGCCAGTTCCTCCCATCAAATTTTGGTGGATTTGCGTCCACTGAAACGATATCCGCTGTAGGCACAGTCGGATTTGTGATGGGAGGGGAAATAGGTGGTGGATTTGGAGGCGTATTTGTAGGAACAGTGGCTGCCATGGGTGCTGACACCCAATCCCACCACTCGTTCAAGTCTAGGTCCAGGTTCTTAGTCGTCCAGTGCCTCTTGCAAGGCCTGGAGCGTTTGGATTAGGGCACGCCTCTGTC